GCTGGGAATGTGGGGCCTTCATGTCAGTGGGATTGACTTTACTGCTTCTTCTTCCTCTTTATGGTTTGAAGTCAAGTTTGGGGTTTTTTTCTCAAGCAACTGGAAATTAACCTAAAAAATAATAAGCATCTATGCTCACTCCTCTTCAAGCTTCCTGAAAACCAAGAAACTTTGACAAAAAATTAAAGGGTTTAAAATGTTGGAACAACCCTAAGGCATGTTAGAAATGAACATCAGAGACAGGCAAAAGGTGGCTGGCAGTGCCCTGCACCCTGTGGCATCACAGCCAGCTCAGCATCCAGGGTTAATGTGGCTCCTCTCTGCCAGCTCCTTCCTGGGTGTCAGAGCAGGAGATTTGTGCTGTTACAATCACGGGCTGGAATTCACTTGAGACAGAATGTGAACAAGATTTATAAGTAATATGCAATGTTTTACACATCTCTGAGCACGGTGTCCCTGAACTGCAGCAGAGTGCATGACCAGGGAATGCATTAGAATGGGAATGGGATAAATAAATATGAAAAATCTTGTGTTTGGAAAGACCAATGCCTTGGGTAATCAGTAGTGATGGAAAGGAAATACTGTACCAAAAAAAAGGTATATATCCATTTTCTAGGATCTGCTTTGTTATTTTTTAGAGAAACTTTTTTTTTTAATATTTTCTAGATTACCAAGCTGTTATCAATGTAAAATGCAGGGTGATGCATTTTTTACATCTTGAAAAGTTAAAACATATTCTGAGGTCATGTAATCAATCATTTGTTTGAAGGGCAAATGCAAGACACAAAAGGAGCTCATGAAGGACAGAGAACTTTTTATTTGAAAAAGGGAGAAAAAAGGTGATACAAACTGCTAGAGAAGTCAATTTATCAGCTGCCACTAGATGACTTTATCAATTATGAGAAATTATAAGCATAGCTTTCTGAATTATTTCTATTTGAAAAATTACTTTATAATGAAATTCATAAGGTAGAGGTGATGAACACCCTGCCCTTATCTGGCTGCTTTGATTTAGGGCTTATGATTCTGTGGAGTTAGATGGGTATTCCCTCTAGTTTCATCACTTCTCTTTCTTCCTCTTCACAAGAAAATGGTGAGATACCCCATGCCTGAGCATCCACATCCATTCCAGAGACAGCCCATCCCAAGGAAGTGTTCAAGGCCAGGTTGGATGGGGCTTGGAGCAACCTGGTCTGGTGAAAGGTGGCAGAGGGGGTTGGACCATATGAGCTTACAGGGCCCTTCCAACCAAAACCTTTCCATGATTCCATGATAATGCACCTTCCATGGTAAATGAGGAAAACCAAAGTATATCTCAGAACTTGCTGGTTTTGCCCTTCTACTGATTGCCTGTTCTTCTTCATGGGATAATACATTTAAATGTCTTTTCAATTCACTGTGGGGCATTACTGGGGTCAGGTAGGGCAGTAACAGCTCCCTGGGGTGTGCAGCACTTGCTGAGCCTCCTTGAGAGCCTCAAAATACTGTTTTAAAGCTGGGATAGATTTGGGGACAGAAGAATTATGTTGCATTAGTTTTATAGTTGTTTTTGTTCTGCTCTGTCTGCTTTCAGGCTTGTGGTGACTTGGAGAACTGGCTTAACAAGCAAAAGCCATCTGAACTGAGTCAAAATATGTGAAATTATTTCCTCTGCTTTTTCCCATGGTGAATTATTCCCATTCCCTCTGCCCACCCCACCCACGTGTCAGCAAACCAGAGCAGCAGCTCAGGAGCTGTCAGTGCTCACTCACACCCTGTTAGCACAGGGCAGGGGCTGTGAGCAGCTCCCCAGAGCTCCCAGGGGCACTGCAGCCTGGAGGGGGATATGGGACACATCCCAAACACATCTCACAGCTTCCAGCTGCAACACAGCACTCCTGGCTGCAGGATGTGAAGTTAGAGGCTATTAAGGAATCAAAGACTCATCATTTCTTAATGCTCCAGGGCTTGGGTTTTTACAGCACTTCCAAATACACCCTTATGAAATACACAAAGAAAGTGCTTGTGCATAAGAATGCATCCATAGATATAAAATGTAACAGTGCAATCCTAATGTACTAACTATATCCACAGGGAAACACGGGGAGAAAACCGTGAGCAGCAATAAACACAGAAAGTCATTAATTTGTTAGAGAATTCAGTCTGCTTTTTGCAGCAACAAAAGGTTCAGTGTTAAACATTTAATGCCACAATCATTTTCTCCTTCCCACTCCTAAACACTTTTAATTCTTAACAATTGTGTAGTTATATATGAATTTTCTGTGTGCAGGTTCTAATACAGGGTTGATAATTCCCTTCTATGCGTGACATGGTGATATGGTGCTGACCTAAATCATCTTTGATAACTTTCTTTAAACACTAGAAGTCAGAAAATAGATTTTAAAAGTCACAAACTGTGCTTTTACCAATATAAGCCCCTTTTTTCAAGAAAAAGGTAAGGAAGTTAATAATACAATATTGTTGCACCTGTTTAGTTGTGCAATGGCTTTTTGCTTATATTAATACATTTGTATGCACTGGAAAAAAAAAACAGATCATCCTTAAAAAGACAATTACAGAGCACAAACCAAGATTCAGAATATTTTTCTGTGATATTTTAAAGGAAGTAACATACTTAAATAGAGAAGATTATATTGTCCTGTTTTTCCACAACTCCTTGAACTAAATTATTCTATTAAAGTAGCCACCCTGCTTTTATTAATCTAAACTCAATTTTAGTTTCTTTTAACATACACAAACTGTTATTAAGTCTCCTCCAGTGCAAGAATTTTCTGTATCTCATGCAAGTATCATTTGAACAGGGTTGGTGTCTTTTCCATTAGCAGTCACTCATGCATCTCTGCTTTCCATCAGGAAAGATCTAACTGACCAAAAACAGACAAATGCTTGAAATGGGGATTTTTGAGTAGATATTTGTAATAATGTATTGGAAAACTTAACCAGCTTATCCCATAGCATAGATGCCTGACACCAAGGTGACAATAATATCTTAGATGCTTTTGATTATAGATAATGGATTTCAGATAATCTATGGATTTACTCTGATTCTTTATAATTGTTCATACATTTGGAACAGAACCAGGTTGTGATTGTGGGTGTGTTTGTGCCCTCTCAGGTGAAGGTTTGTGCTTTGGGAAGGGTTGTGTCCTGCCAGTAAACTCCTTATTTCTCAGTGCTCACTTTCAACCTGCCTTAAAACATGTCTAAAAACTAGGCAAGCTCTCAGGATTCTCTCCCCTCTGCCAGTGCTGACCTGCCACTGAGAGGTGAGGCATGAAGATGCTTCTTAATGCCAGACAGAGGATTTTGGAGAAGGTTCCTGAGCTGACAGAAGTGGTGCCAGATCAATCTATACTGCAGGAGATGGGCTGTTTTGTACTTCTCTTGAAGGCTGCCAGCTGGCATTGCACGTCTGCTGCAGAATCACAGCTTCCTTCAAAAACTGTTCAAAGTGTGGTGTCTGCAAAGGAAGGTTCAAACTGCAAAGCACATGCACCCTGAACAGGCAGGAAATGTGAGATGTAAGGAGCCCCAGAAGGTGTGGGTTTAGAAATCAGCCCATGTGCTGATGAAACAACCCCAGCCTGTGATCTCTGAGTCCTGGGCAGCAGCAGGTGGGTGTGGATGGTTCCTTACAGCGCTGGGGCTGCCACGGGTGCAGCGGGGAAGGAGCAGCATCAGAACCTGTGTGTGTGGATTCCCTCCCTCCAGCACAAAGAAATCAGGACCCAGGTTCTGGACTCTGAGCCAGCAGATCAAAGTGATGTTCCTGTTTAATCTGTCCCCCTGGTGGGTTCTGCCATGCAGAGGAGGCAGTGAGCTGTCACCTCCTCACTGCACACACTGCTGCACGTCCCAGACACGGGGGTGGCAGCAGGCAGGACCTCCTGGAAGGGCTTTCCCTGCACACACTGGGCTGCAGGCTGGCTTCCAGCTGCACTTTGGAGCTTTGAAAACAAATCCTTGTGTTTTCATAAGCAGAACCACTCTCTAGCATTCACCCTGTTGTACTGGGTTTGTGCCACCCTGACCCAAAGCTGAATTTTCCCATAATATTGCAGTGAAATTACTCAAAGAGTTCAATTTAGCGTACTTCACACGTGAGGGTGATTACAAAAAAATCTTTCTTTCAGCTCATGAATTATTTTAAAATGTGTCCTCCTCAGTTTGCATAGAAACACAAACACTCTGAAGCTGCAGAGTCTCTGAAGGTTGGTGGAGTAACAAGAGAAGCTGCTTCATTTAGCCATCAGTGCTGTGGTTCTCTTAGCTATAATTCAGTAAATAAACATGGAAATTAACAAATAAATAATGAATTTAAATAAATTCCTGAGCAGGGTGCTTGTACAGCATAATCAAGTGCCAAAAATGTGTCTAATAACTCAACTCAGATCCTTCCCATCTGTAATCAAGAACTGAAACAATGCAAGAGCAGGTCTAGAAAGGTGAAGGGGAGGAAGAAAGCTACTTGTTAAGCAGTTACAGAACTAAACAGGTATGTTTGAGAAAAGGCTTTTTGTCTTCTCCCTTGTCTCCTGCCTAGGATATTGTCTGAGATAAGTAACAAAGAGCTTCAGTTCTTTTTCATCAGGTCTCAAGGCTGCAGTGCATTTTCTAAGAACCAGCACAGATAAAGGAAACCTTAACCCACCCAAATGTTAGCATTTTATGCATCTGAGGTTAACAGGTAGATATTAAATTCCCCCATAAATTAAACAGCTGGAAATGGCCATCTTTTTTATGTGCAAAAAGCACCTTGTTAGCAACAAGCACAAAAGTTCATATTCTCAGATGAGTCACTTTACCTTACTCTTAAATCGCTGCTCATTTTCTCCCTGTGTGTTGATTTATGAACTTTATAGCCTACTGTTCAAAATTCAAGCTGTGTCCCCAGGCTGCATTGCTATCAAAACCTCTGAACAGGTAGTATCCATTCATGTAGTGCTTAAAATATTGTTACTAAATAATAAGGCACCTTTCCTGTCTTTTGTTCCATTCAGGATTTTGGAGAAGATGATTCCCTCTACATCACCAAGGTAACAACAATTCACATGGGCAATTACACCTGTCATGCCTACGGCTATGAGGAGCTGTATCAGACCCACATCCTTCAGGTGAATGGTTAGTAAATGGCATATGTGACATTCCATGAAAACATTCCCTGAGAAAAGTGGTGTGTTAACCTCATTCACACAGAGATGTGTAAAGCCACAGCCCAAATTATCTGTGCATGAGAGCAGATGCAGCTTGGGGTTTGCTCACTCGCACTGTCACACAGGCAGTCAAAAATAAAAGTATCAAGGGGGAATGTGTATAATTACCTTGGGCTTCAGGAGGTATTTTCATTGTTAAACAAGCTGTCAGTGACATTTTCATAGAGTTAAGAGCAGCGTTTCCAAGCATCTCTTAAAGTAATTACTACTTTTGTCAACAGAAGTGTTGCCTCAATAATTTCTTCTTCCAGAAAATCATTTCTGTTGCATGAAATAGCCCAGCATATTTAAATAAATACAGCAGTGTTTTCAAAAGCAGCTAACCTCCATCTATATATCCAGGCTATTACCTGGTTGTACTGAGCTTGGTTGGCTGAGGGCTGTTTACACTGGCTCACTGGATTGCAAATTGAGGGCAAATCATTTTACAGGTGAGAGAATCAGACAATTCCAGCATTCTCGTGCACCTCCATCCCCTGGACTACACGTGTGCCTAGTGGAAACGGTATTCAGGTGCTCACTATCTATCTCCTGACCTCAAACTCACTCAGTTGGATTTAGTTTAAAATTGCATTAGATTAAGCCAGCATTTCATCAAGGGACCAGCCCACAGAGGATCCACCTCCACAGCAGCAACAGCATTTTCCAGCTTCCAGCCCTTTTTCACCTGTGCTGATGGTGCCCAGCAGTGTCTCCAGAACAGGGGACAGGGGTGCCCATTACTAACTGTGGGTACATTCTGGTATGAAATGGGATATACACTATGGGATGCACTCTGGTATGAATGTCTTTATTTTTAAGGAAAATTCAGTAACTTTATTACAGGGTATATATATTGTAAGGAAAACTAGTACTCCTTTCTCTAGGTGTGTGTTGACCTGCACAAAGGAGAGCTTTCAGCTGGTAAGAGCAGGTCACAGAGGTGACACAGAGGTCAGCAGTGAGAGGAGAAACAGTAAAGAGGGATACTTCTGCATCTTAAGAAGAGCCATGGTGGTTTTGTTTTGAGCTTTTGTTTTGACTTCAGGTCTTCTGGATGTGTTTAAGTGCTCCCCCCACACACAAGTACCTGGAGGAGAGCACAAAGTATCTGGTTGATCTGAATGAAAGCTGACTTAATGTCTCTACATAATAATTTGTCATCTTTTTGGGAAAGTAAACTGTAAATCTCAGCAATGTGGATAACTAAGTCGTGTATGCTGCAGCTGAGAAAATAGGTTTCCTTCCTCAAAGTGCTGTTTGTTTGATGAATGGCAGTTGAAAGAAAAGCCAGCTAACAACTTAATCCCATGTCTATTATGTGATGTATTATGAGGCCTGAATGGAGTTTAGTTGGCAGACAACAATGTAGACTTTATCAGCACTGAGAATAGCAGGCCCAAAGGCTTTGAAACTTAAACCAGAATGAGAGGAAAGCTGGATGGAGTGTGGGGAGGGGGTGATCTGTTCCATACTCACGCTTGCCACTTCGATTTAACTTGTTATTGAAAGATCACATTTTCTTTTTAAGTGCAAGTTTCATACCATAGCTGCATGGGGGCTTTCTTACCAAAAGAATAATGCTGTTATACAAAAAACACTATCTGTGTGGGCTTTTTAATATGCTATATAGTCACTAAATACAGAATAAAAAGACTTGCATTCTGGTATCAACTCAGGCTTGCTAGAAAACACTGCAGGGTCTAGAAATCTTTGTCTCACAGCATCTGATATTCCCTTGTGAGCCATTAGGCTTTGCAAAGCTGGGGTTTTGCAATTCTTGATGTGGCTGCCCACATCAGTATATTCCCTGCTGTTCTGCCTGTGTCACAGTTTCCTCCAGCAGCTGATGCAGGGGTGACAGCCCTGATGGCAGGAGAACATTGTTTGCCTTCAAATGCATCAGAGGGTTCCCAAGGCAGAGCCTTTCACAGGGAAACCTCAGTTTTAGTAACTTAAAGGACAAATTGAGGAATTTTTCTTGACAGGAGTAGAGGGAAGAAACTGAGCCGAGCTGAACTGAGTGAAGATGCTGAGAATCTAAGTGTGGTTGATGGGCTCTGTTCAGCACTGGGGCTTGTCTCTGTCTGTCTGTATCAAACTAAAAACTCCATCTTCAGCATGGAAGGGTTTGTGTTGCTTTCTTGTGTTGGACTAAAATGGTAAGAGAATGTGACAGAAGCAAATCAGCCAGAACTCGGGTGTATCTGCTTGCCTGTCTCCTCTAGGGAAGCACTGATCTACTTTCAACATCAAAAACTTGGGGGGCTTTTTATTTTATTAAAATGATCAGAATTTTTCTTTTCACACCTCCCAAGTTTGTCTGTTGGGAGAGAATATAGAAAGATCCAACTAGAAGTAAAAGGGTTTATCCCCCACCCTTCCCAAGCCTGCTGTGTCTCTACAGGCTGGTTCTAACTTTTAGACTGTTTTTCAGTTAATCCAGTGTTTTCAAAGCTGGAGTGATTCTTCCAGCATCCTTTGGTCCTTTTCCATACCACCTGGGCCCTGTCTTACTGTTCCATCTAAGACACATCAGTGAGTTCACAAAAGAATCTGACCTTAGTTACATGTGCTCTCCTCCTCTGCTTTTATCCAACAAAGACGCTCTTCAACTTATTTTTTTCTTTGCCTCTTTTTAGAACATTAAGCTAGATTCTTACATTGATTAGGTAATATAGAAAATAGGGAAATACAATGCTTAAATGGAAAGTTTGCAGCCCAATTTTGACAACATTAAATGTTTATGAGATCTGGTGCTCTACTACTGCTCAGCTGCTGAATGCTATGCAATGTTCTCTTTGTGCCAGATGGTTCAGGATATCCCAAATAACATGGGTAGGTCCAGATGCTTATTTTGACAAGCAGAGATGAGAATCCTCTTAGGCAGAAAATGTGATGGTCACCAGGTGAATACCCCAACCTGCTGGCTCACATCTGGGCATGAAGCATGAAGCACATGTGAAATTCAGCCTGTTTGATGGGAGAGATTTGGTTGAGCTCTCAATCTTAGGATTCACAGTTACTGGTAAAAATTAAGTCAGTGTATTTATGCAGCATGCCCTTAAGATCTTTGGAGGAAAAGAAATTGCTGAAAGGCAATGTTTAAACAGTTTAAGAATGAAAAGTTCATCTTGCATTCTGGTATCTTTGATCAGGAGGAGCCAAGAACAGCAGGAAAATTTTGCTCTCTCCCATGTATGGATATTGCTTGGGAAATGTGTGCAGTATACACTAACTGTTGGGAGGAAGCAATTTAGCACTTTCAAAAGGAAAAAAGAGGTCCCAAGGATAAAGAATCTCATAAAATAGTAATCAACTATGAAAATTGGTAAGTCTCTTGGTAAATCAAGAGATTTACAGAGTGTAGGAGATTTGCTGGGTGTAAGGCATCATTTTCCTTGGTCTTTGCACTCAGGAAAACATCAGCATAAATCAGAATATTTTATTCCTTGAAAATAGTTTAAAAAAAGCCATTTGATCCTCAACCCAATTATAAGGGTCCAATAGGACAAATTTTCCAGTAAGGGAGACGTTACAAACATGGATGTTTCATTAATGTGGCTTTTCAGGAGAAAACATAAAATGCTGCAAGCTCCTTTCAAATCATAAATGTAAAACATCTCGAGTAAATGATTAATCTGTTAATTATTGCTACACCCTGGAGTATAGAGCTCCTACAGCAGCAATGGATGTCTTTGGGCCTTGGTGCCACCATCTGTGCTCATCGTGTGCTTTATCACCTGAGCTGTTTTATAGTAATGAATTGGTCTGCTCACCAGTGAGGTGCTGCTCAGTATGCAGTGGTAGGCAATCTACCCAATCTCATGCTTGTTTCAATGCCTCTTTCTTCCTGCTTTGCTTAAGATAATGGCATTTTTATATTGCCCTCAGCTGCAGACACAGTAATGGTTAGCAATGATATATATTCACCAAGGGAAAAAGCAAAAGGTAATCCATATATCCCAAAGTCTGGGACTGAAATCTTTGCAAGTTTAATGTGCTTACTTGGAATGTATTAATTTGTAGCAAGGACAATAAAAATATATTCTGCAGTTTGCTGTTATCACAAGGCATTTGCATGAAATAATTTGCCTGTGCAGTGAATTATGTAAGACAAGGGAGAAGAAATAAAAAGTTTAAAAACAGAAGGAAAAGGAAAAGAGAGCAGAAATGGAGGTGAAACACATACTCTTTGTAGGTGAAAACAAACAGTTTCCTTATTAATCACTCTTGAAAAGATACCTTGCAATAATTTTAAGTTAATTTTCATGCAGAGCATTGATTCAGTGTCTGGGACCTGTGAGCTACCTTTGGCAATATAAATCTGTTGTGCTTGCAGCCCTCCAGGTAAAATAGGTGGATTATTCATGTGTAGACTATCAAGGTGTGAGGCGAAAATGTGAGAGATGAAGTTTCAGTCTGTTTGTAGTGCCCTGATTCTGGGGAGCTGATGGCTGTGGCCAGCCTGGGAAGTGCTGACACAGCTGCCCAGATGAGCAGGAAAGCCTAAAGCAAACAATATTAAGGAAATAACAACCCACAGTGGGTTTGAGAGCATTAAATAGGTGATGACTGGGATGGGCTGTGTCTCTGAGAGCTGGCAGGTGAGAAGACATTTGGCTTGGAGTGAACTTTTTCTGGAGCCTTTGGCCATGTGAGATCTCAGCCAAGTCAGTTGATTTCAGGATTTGAGAATCAGACCTTGAATATTGTAAATCTTTTTCCTCTGCACTTGTAGGAGGCACACTGTTCTTCAGCTGTGAGTCCAAATAAATCATGTTGGCCTTCAATGGACCTCACTTACTCAATCATTTCATTCAAAAAATGTTACTAGTAGCATCCCATCCAGGCTGGGCAGATCCTCATTGGACTCTGGCCATGATTTTACAAAACTGTACAGCTTTCAGCAGCTACATCATTAATCCCAAAATCTCCCAGTCTGATAGAAAAGTTGACTGCTTCATGTGAAACAGAGATACCATCAGCCACGGTATGAGACAATGAGACATCCTCACATTTCCTTTTATTTTTCCCTCAAGATGAAAGAGGGAAAAATCTCTCACTGGTATCTTTCACTGATGCTGCAATATTGCAATTTTTTTTTTAAGTCAGTCAGTAAATTGTTAAGAAATAGTTAATGGGTGGTATTAAGCCTTGTTGGTTTGAGCAGTGAAGGAAAGATGATTGAAAATCAATGAACATCTCTGAAATTGTAACATAATTAGTAGTTCTGCCAGAGGAGTATATTAAATAGCTCAGGAGTGCCTTTGTGAACAAGGTAAGCCATGTTTTAAAAACCTCTCAGTGAAAAGAAGTAATTGATAAACACTTTATTTGTTCAGAATAAGAAGTAGTGAATACACAGTCCACTTCCTGATGGATAATTAAATACTGAAGATTAAGTTATTTTTCATAGGCAAGAACTCAAATTCCCTCCTAGATTCAGGGAAGATCTGAGGTTTATACTTTAATTTTTAAATATGTGAGTACCCACGTTAGGTTTTAATCCAACTGTTCAGTTAGTCACTCAATAAAAGTCTAAATACAGAATTGAATTGCAAGGTTGCTCCCTGGCATTGGTATATTAGTTTACTCTTTTCTGTTATAGAATCATAGGATCACAGACTGGTTTGGGATGGAAGGAATCTTAGACATCATCTCAATCCAACCCCCTGCCATGGGCAGGGACACCTTCCACTGTCCCAGGTTGCTCCAAGCCCCATCCAGCCTGGCCTTGAACACTTCCAGGGATGGGGCATCCTCAGCTTCTCTCATATGCCAGTGCTTGGAAAAGTATTATTTTCTATTTTCTGCCCCCAAAGTCAAGCTGTAGAGAAATCATTCTTGTAGCTTGCACTGACAGCCAGACCAAGCTCATCTCCGTGGCTCTCAGCTCAGAGCCCCTCGTGGCTCTGCAGGACAGCAGTGGCTCTGCAGCCCCGGCGCGGTCTCAAGTCCCCAAGTCCTCAAGTCCCCAATTCCTCAAGTCCCCAAGTCCCCAGTTCCTCAAGTCCCCAGTTCCTCAAGTCCCCAATTCCTCAAGTCCCCAGTTCCTCAAGTCCCCAGTTCCCCAATTCCTCAAGTCCCCGCTTCCTTGCTCCCCGCAGTGCCTCCGGTGATCCGCGTGTACCCCGAGACGCAGGCGCAGGAGCCGGGCGTGTCAGCCAGCCTGAAATGTCACGCCGAAGGCATCCCTAATCCCCGAATTACCTGGCTGAAGAACGGCATTGATATCATGCCAAAACTATCCAAACAGCTATCGCTCCTTGGTAAGAACAGAATTTTGATTAATTAAAGTATTGTAGGCAGGGATTAAGGAGGATTATTTTGCACTTTAAACCAGAAGTTCTTGTACTTTGCTAAGCCACAGTTGTTGGAAATCGTGTTATAAAACCCCCGTTCTTTCTTTTTATCTCTTTCTCCTGTGAATTTCCTGGGAAATACACTATTGATTGATGTAAGTGGTAATTGCATTCTGTTCAAAGACAGCCTGCCTGTTTCTTCACTGCCTTGCTTCTTGTGTACAGCACAGTAGAAAAGAAATGCATTAAATTATTTGAAGAGAAATTCGTTAAATTATTTGTTCATGTCTAAGCACACACTGGATGCAAGTCAGCTGAGAGTCATTCTCCCACTCAGCCCTGCTGAAGGAATTGGGCTTTTAACTCCTCTAGGTCTCTGTTCGAATGAGGGTGCAACAGGCATAGCAAAAGGCAAAAACATTAATTTGCAATATTCTGTGTAAAAATAGTAACCCCATCCTCAACACATGCCCCAGTCTGGCTTTGGTCGATTGTGCCCTTCAGCCTGTGTTGGTAGCACTGATATTGCTGCATGACACATACAGTATCTCAACATGTTCCAAAGGTTTTAGCCATTGCTCCCTCTGCAGGAAGCAAAATGGTAGGAGGAACTGTAGAGAGACCCCTTTAAACCAAAGTTTTTTTGTGATCTGATGGAAAACAGTTTGCAAAACTGAAATTAATTTTTCTTCACTAAAGCCAAAGCACTTTTCTAACAAAAAGAAGAAATAAATGAACTGTGATTTATAGTTTGACTTGAGATTTTTAATTTGTTCATTTCTGGTGTGAAGCGTGTATGTGCTGATGGGAAGAAGCAAGACATCAGCTCCCATGAGAATCCCCAAAAACCTCTAGTTAAATAGGGGGAGACACAGTGTGGTGGAACCACCCTGTTGGGCCATCATTGTGTGGATATGGCAATGGAGGACAATTAAGGCAGGGACATCAATTAGCAGCAGTGGGGAGCACTGGTTTTGAGTGTCTTTCTTACAGCAAATGGAAGTGAACTCCACATCAGCAGCGTTCGCTATGAAGACACTGGGGCTTACACCTGCATTGCCAAAAATGAGGTGGGAGTGGATGAGGACATTTCTTCCCTTTTCATCGAAGATTCGGCGAGAAAGACCCGTAAGCTCAATTTTCCATGTATTTCTTTCTTTAAATAGTGTTGGAATGTGATGGTAAACATGAAATTTAATTTAGTGTCATTTAGTTCAGGCTATTGCATGCAGTAAGTTGGATCTTACATAAGGTAATGACAGTTCTGAATGCACTTTGATCAGAGGATTGGACACTTTTTTTGGGGTAGGAATCATGCAGAGAAGGTAAAATCTTGTCCAGGAAGATGTGCCAGAAGTATACTGGGTGTGTGATGGGTAACAGCTTTATTGGAGTAAAAAATTGGCAATAGTTTCAGATATCAGGGAATCCAAAATGTAATATTTTGTCATATTCTAGAAATCTCATTGATTTCTGTATAAGGCTTCTTTTGAAGCCAGTTACCAGTCAAAATTCTTGAATATTTAGATATCTGAAAAATGTTGTGATTAAATTATTTTACCTGTTTTTACATCACTGACTGGCAAAATAGGTTTCCCTCAGCGTGAAATTATTTTCCACCTCAAAGACAAATACCCTCCCAGTTTCTGTTCCCACATCTCCCATAGAAATACAGCAGTGTTGTCTTGACCACACTGAGCCCAAAACAGAATTGCTGAAGGAGGTGATCAGCTGTCCCATAGAAAAGCTCCCAGAGGCCTGATCTTTCCCAGTTCTACTTTCTTGAATGCCTGGGAGATTACCTGGGTTTATGGTGATACTAAAAGTCTAGGTGCAAATGGGATTTTTACTGCTTTTCTGGCTGCTAATATAGAGCAAGAATTGAAACAAAGTTACCCATAAATACGAGCTTTCAAGAAAAAACTTTGGAAAAGATATCCTATTCCTCATTAGCTAGATTTATGCACTGTTTTAATATTGGTCATTTTCCCTTGAATACTTGAGCAGGGGGAATTACAATATATTGAGAAATAATTGGATCTATCTGGAACAGAAATTCAAATGCAGGTGTACTTTCAAAGCTGGTGTGAATCCTGAAAGAATGCAGTTGCATGAAGTTCCAAGAGAAAAGCAGCCAAGGGTGTATCTGCTGTAGCTGCTGTATCTGCTGTGGCTGCTGTAGCTGCCCATCTCAGGCTTCTTCTGAAAGATGCTGGTGGACCTGGCAGTGCTGGGTTAATGGTTGGACTCTATGATCTTAGAGGTTTTTTCCAACCTTAAAGATTCTATAATTCCACGTTGTGTTTCCTCATTGAACCTGCACAGAAAACCACAGGCTGTACCACACCTGCAGCTGCATTTGAAGGTAACAGCTCCTCTTTTGTAGGTCATTGATCTTTGCACAGCTGCCTTCATTTCAGGAAGGATTTTTCCCATGTCAGAGTTTCTTAATTGTCTCTAGAAGGAGCAGATATGTTTAGAATTCTCTGTCTTTCCTGGTATTTTATTTGAATGAATGTTACAAAATTTTCACCAATTAAACAGTTCATGTAAACATGAGTATTTATTCAGTTACTTGATACAATGAAAGTTTTGACATTGTTTTGTTGTTTTTTTTCTTTTCCTGATTATTTTCTGGCTTTCCCAATATTCTGATGCTGCAGTTGCAAACATACTGTGGCGAGAGGAAGGTACTGCAGTAAAGTTCTTTTGTTGTAGTGATAATGTGCTTGTCTGCTTTAATAATTCCATGATGGGCCATTCTCCACTGACTTGCCACTAACCCTATCAACTTTCATAGTCACCAGATTAAGTACAGACCAGACTTTTAAAAGCTAAATTATTCAAATAAGAGATGTCACTCTTGTACCTATAACTTCTTGCATTTTCCCACTATGAAATAATAGATGACCATAAAATATATAAAAATATGAATTTTATATATACTGCCAGAAATGTGAGTAGCCTGAGATTTTCAAGCTGCATTAGCAATCACAGAAGTGTCAGAAGTGCTCCCAAATTACCATAATTGAACAAGTAAGGCATAAATTCAATATACTGCATTTTTAAGCAAGCAATTCAAGCTCTTCCTTTTCAATAGCATGTATTGATGTTTTCTAGGTGAGCAACAGAAATTGTGTTCCTGACTGTTAGGAAAAACAAAAATCCAAACCACAATAGGTTTTCTTCCCTCAATCCTTTGAATCAATGCAGGGTAAAGGTTGCCCCATTTCTCCTTGTTTTAATTGGCAGTTAAGAGCTCTGGTTTGATCAAAGTTACAGTGTACCCTTCACAAGGTCAACAACTGTGTATCTTGGAAGCCAAAGTAAAACAAAAACCCATCCTGAGCAGCTAATTGACTCAAAGATATCTTGGAGGGCCTCAGAATCACCTTATCTTGTACATGCATGTGCTGTCATAATGTCCAAAATACCCAGTAAGAAGCATCTCCCAACAGCCCAAGGGGCTCTCACACAGGTTTCCATCTGACTCTGTAGGTGAGGAGCCCAGGTGTGCAGAGGGGACCCTGTGACCCTGGGCTCCTGGAGGGCTGTGAGCAGGACACCCACTCCTTGGAGGAAGGTTCTGAGGTTCAAGTGCAGATTTAAACCAGTTTTCTCACACCTGCCAGGTCCTTAGGAGGCAGCTGAGACCTTGGTGTGGGAAGGGTTGCTGTGCAGTGACAAACTGCTCTCAGCCACGTCCCCCTGCCCCCTGCAAACACCCAAACTCCTTCACCCTGCTCCTCCAAGAAGGGATTCAGGCTCACTCTGCTTTTGGAGGGTGCAAAGCCCCTTTGTCAGTTGTGCCTCCAAAACAACAGCTGGGCTTCCAGCCTCAGCAGGGAGGTTCTGGGTAGCTTGGGCTTGGCACAAAGGATTTTGGGGCAGAAGGAGGGTGCTAGGGCATGGTGACCAGAGCAGCCTGGGCCAGGTGTGCAAACACCTGGTGCCCACTGTCAGTGCCACTGTTGGCCCCATGGAGCAAATACACTGGTTTATTTCTAGAGTCCCTTCCAACCCACAGCAAATGCAGCTCCCTGAGGTCACAGAGCTGGCTCAGTCACCTAGGAGAGCTCCCCAGCACTTCCTTCTGAACACCCCACCTGCAGGTTCCTGGTGCAGGGCTGTGAGGAGTCATCACTGCTGATGTTCCTGTAAATGGCATCATGGGCACTAAGAATTGCTATTTCCCTTCTGCTTGGAAATGAAATCTCTAATGCATCTCATCAGTCCAGCATCACCTGCATGATGCTCCGTGGCTGTTTATATATAGTGTCCCTTATGCTCCTTTTTAAAGAAAGCAATTGGATAATCCTACCAGATGTAGAAGTAGAGGAATATTTAAAGAACAGCTGAGAAGTTGGTTGCAGAAAGTCTTATTATAATTTTGCTAAATAGATGGACTTACTGCTTATCAACCTTGCACATTTTAAATGAAAGTATGAGAAATGTTGAGGCAAAACATGGCCAGTAAAGCAGATCTGCTATTGATGTTCCTAAACAATTCAGTATCTGTAAAGCAGGTTTATTACCCTGCTTGTGTTGTTCTGTAGTATTTGATGGACACATTCATTCTAGAGTATACTTCAGCATGTGAAATCTTGGCACAGAGAAGCTGGAAGACAGGAATGGTATTTTTGGTTTTACATTTTAATATATTCTTTCAATTCCTTACCATGTACAAGTAGCAATATTAACAAATGCATTGGTAGATTTGAGTTCCTTTAAAATGATACTACCTCATCCCCACAAGGTCTGGAGTAATTAAAACCTTGGGAAAATGCCTAAACGAAATATGGTGTAGAAAAAACTTTTGCTGCAAGTCAAACTTTTAAAACAAGTATTTGGTCATTTTAAAAGTCAGTCTGTCAGTTTGTTCTTAAAACCTTTCAGACCATCCACAAGCAATGCCTTAGGAAATGAGTGCACACAGGGCAACCAGCCAATTAAACCTGGGGCTGGAAGCACATGCAGTATTTACTCAATGTAGAAATAGTTTTTAATTTTGTCCAGAGAAAACCATGAGTAGCCCAAATGTAAAGCAGAGATTTTTTTTCTTCATGACAGTGTTCATTTCTGTAGTGAGCATTGTTTACTTAATACCTGGAGAAAAGGGGCATTTTGTGCCAGCAGGCGATCAGCAGTTATATGAGTGTATGCTCTTAAAAAGCTGAAAGCCTTTTCATTACCAAATGTAAGTTCTAAAATATTTCCAAGTATTTAAATTAAGTTGAGGAAAACTATTTAAGTATAAGATCAGAGGAGAGTATTCCATGGTGAAAAATTTGCCCTTTGATCTCAAGAGAGGGATGTATAAATGTACACTGATGGAGACACTGTATTTTTCAAATAAGCTCTTGTTGATATCAGGTGTCCTCCCAATGTTTTTTTGTTAGAGCCAATTTCATCTGGAGTGGATCAAATAAGAACTGTTATGTTTAAGAAGCCCTCCCCATTCTTAGTGGGGTTTTTTTATATTAGGGATATTTTGCTATATAGGTGAAGTACTTTGTCTTTCATAATGCCTTTAGGTTTTGAACTAGTTGTGTCATCTAACCTGAAATGTCCTCAATTCAAAAGGAAAAAATTTTTCAAAACTCCTCATTAGTCCCTGAGTTCCCAATTTAGCACCTGCCTCACTACTATAAAAAACACAAAATACTTCATTGCCCACCTCTGTACTGAAATAATTCCCAATTCCCTGCACCAAGGAGTTGCATCAGTATAATAAAAAATTGACTCTGTTCTACTGCTGTCCATGAGATTGTTTAGGATGTACCCCAACCAAGATTTGGCAAATGTTTCATAAGTCACAATAAAACACCTAGTGTGTCTAGTAAAATCCTGCTTGGTCTAAATATCAGTATGAAGACCAATCTCTGGAGAAAAAAAGTGGTTTAATTTTAACTGACAAACTTTTTTAAAAAGAGAGTAACTGAATGCTCTCGGGAATTTGAAGTATATTTTAATCAGTCTGCACAAAAACTTGGACTCATTTTACTGTAAAATAAAATAGTAGAACTTGCCAAGTCTCTGACTCTAAACCTATTGGTGTAAAATTTTTAATCAAAGTATTTTTGTGGGTAATTCAGGTCTTCTTAAATACACCCTCATTGTAACAGGATCACCATACAAAATCACGCTACTCTTGTGCATGAAAATAATAATAAGCATCTTCACAGTAGTCATAATTGATTGCCTGCCTGTTTTCACTTCTGAGGATTAAAATCCTTTACCCATGAAATGTCGGCACTCATTCCAGGCCAGGGTCAGATCCTACCCTCTGAGTGTTCATCAAATCCCACTAAAGCAGGTGGGAGTTTTGTGGATGCTGGGGGTGCAGGTTTTGGTCCAAAGTGCCTGAATGAAATGTATTACCAATATACTTGGGGAAAAATAACCCTTAGTCCATGGAATAACTCTCAATGGAGCTTTTTCTCCTACATGCATGATCCTGCCCTATGCAATCACATTTGAGGATCACAGCTCTTGTACCCACCTGGTGCCCTGACTGGGGGATTTCTGTGCTATGGTTCAGACTCAACTTGAACCATGTCAGTACAGCAAACACCACATGCTGACACATTGTTCTCTGAAATTACTTATTTGGCATCAAAAGAAGGGGGCTTAGCAACGAAAACACCCTTCTAGCCTTACTAAATACAATGTGTTTTACAACATTTTCCAAAAATGCATTTGTCCAAATTATCCCTATTTTTACTGTCAAATTTCCTGTGATGATTCAGATCTCAATCCTGCAGACAGTTAAGAAATGTGAGAAACACTGTCTCTGTGAGCAGTACTTAGAGCTGTCACCACAGGACCAGCAAAGGGAATTTTTAATACTGAACACTGTTCAGAGCCACAGAATGGGGACTTTATTTCTCCATGGGAAAGATGGAATCAATTAAAAGATACAAATTATAGCATCACCATATTGTTGGCAGATAAAGTACACTATCAACACTGGTAGGGGTGACAGTGGTCATTGCAAACACTTAGTGGTGGTGGTGGTGTGAAAAATGGAATGATTGGATCTTTGAAACTAGAGGGTTTGAAAGGATCCTGAACATTTCTTAAAGATCTTGTCACTGCAATTCTGTGTAGCATGACAGAAGTGATAAAACACAATCTCCTAATGGCAAAGCAATGACAATCAGCCAGTTTTCCAAATCTCCTGGAATGCCCTGGTTGGATAAATGAGTGCTAATGCAATGCTGAACTACTCCACATTTGTGAATTAGTTTGCAATATTTCAAAAATGTATTTATTTTGGTGGCTGTAGTTAGTTCTTTCAGATATTTTAAGAAAAAAATAAGAAATCTATATATTTTCATTCATGGTACAGATGCTAAACACTTCCATTTAACATCACAGTTACCAGTGGTCATGTTGCCTGTAACAGGATGACCTTCACTTTAATTTTAACTAAAGCTTGTCTTTCCATTCTCAAATTATTGTCAAGCTGTTTTTAATGAAATCATAGAAAAAAAACCGAATTAATAATCTGAGGGGAGTAGCAGTGCAACAGAGAGGCTTCTTGGGATCAAATCCTGTTTTGGTACCTATTTACAAGACCCAGCCATAATTATTTGGGTACAACCACCGCCACCAAGGCAATGCATTTTTGAATGTGTTTGTACCTCTTCACTCCTTGAAGCCCTTGTTGTGACATGAAATTTGATTTGTGAATGCTCCAACTGCATCCAAATGACCAACTTTTATGTAAGGCAGATTTTGTTTGTCGGGAAAGGAGGACAAGTTCTTTAAAAAAGTCCTAACAGCTATGGATACATACCAAAAAAAAATCCAACTCCTTCTTCTTTATCTCCCTTTAAGGCCTGAGTGTTGGGAATATGTTCTATGTCTTTTCTGATGATGGGATCACAGTCCTTCAGCCAAACGAATGTGAAATCCGGAGACACATCAGGCCTGAAGAGAGGATTTTCACAAGTTATGTAAGTCCTGAACCCAGCAGCTACAGCTGGGAAACTTTCTCTTAATCTCTTCAAAGGTTGTTATTGCTAAAGGACCTGTTTGCCACAGGGGTGTTGGAGCTTGGTGGGCTTCATGCAGCATCCCTGAGGTATAGCATCTTCTCTTGAAAATCAGGGGATCCACGTAAGTGCCAAGGCTGACATGGAGGATTTACTGACACACTGCAGAGAATTTGGCCAGTTATCACAAAAGCAAAGATTTTCATTTGTCCTTTTGATCTTTTTACTTATCCATGCCCCAAATTTGTAACTGGGCTTTAGGAAAGGTTACAAAAGTCAACAGCAGAGAGTTGTGCACATCATTCACTGGTGCTCCTTTTACTGATGGCTCCATAGGCAAATAAGTGAGTTACTTTGGGCCACTTTCTGCTCTTTGGAAGTGCTTTGCTGTGTTAAACTGCAGCAGAAAATGGTTGTGCCATGAAGATCCTCTGCATCTTCTGCACTGAGAGAGAGTCTCCACTGTCTGTGTTTGCTGTGGGCACTTTTCTGTCTGCACTGAATTTACCTAACCCTTGCTTTAGGAATTACAAGGACAATTTTTTCAGGTGTCAGAAATGTCAAGCACTGGCTTGTAGGCAGTGGAGCTCAACATGGCCAGTGGGATAACACGTGCCTGGAGGCTCTGAGAGGTCAGTGTTCTCAGTGACCTGTTATGTACTCCTGCACAGGAACATACAGCAGGCATATCCTCATGAAACTGTCAGTTCTTAAAAAAAAAACACAGGTGCTGAAATACACCCAGAAATGCTTTTTTAGTCACTCCTTTCCTTGCTTTCTAATTTTTAAAAGGGGATGTTGAAAATGTGTCTAAAGAATGTGGCTCTTCTTGAAAAAAAGGGCTCAGCCTTGATTTAAATTTTGGGAGGAATCAAAGGCTAGAATTGCTGTCATGGGCCCTGCAGGTTGGGTCAAGATCTTCTTATGAGTCTGTAGTAAGTATTTTCTAAATCTCAATAAATTTGTGGTTGATACTGGGTTTTTTTCCACTAGATTTTAATATACCTTAGAAGAAGTCCAGACTGATGCTCACCCCAAGGCTAGTCCTTACCATGGACTTAATGCTATTAAGCCACACCTAAGCTTTACAAAGACAGAAATCCTGTGGTTTCTTTTCTGAAGAACTGTAAATTTTGAAGAGGTGGTCCTGGAGAAACAGATCAAAAAGAACAAAACAGGGAGAGCACTTAAGGAAATCATGTCAGCACATTGGTGTGCATGAGAGGGATTTTTAACATCACTTGGCTGCTCTTCAGAGACATCTCTGAGGGATTCCTACAGATCTCCAAGGACCCTTCCCTTGGTCTAGGGATAACTGACATTTTTTCCTCCCTTTTCCCTTTTGCTGTCTTGAATGTTTGCTACATAGACAGTGTCACCACTTTAGGAGTAGATCTACAAAAAAGGTTGCTTCATTTGCTCATAGAGGGCCCAAAAGCAGGTGGAGCAGCTGCAGTTGAGCCCTGTAGCAGAAAGCCTGGTAACTTTTCCCTGCTCCCCTTGGCTTGGGTGGTGCTGCGTTGTGAGAGATGAGGATGAAGAGGGCAGTGTGAAGGCTGGCTATGTGAGTGGCTCCTGGAGGCCCCAGTCTGGGCTTTTGTGTCATCTTCTGGCTTTTAGCATTGATTCCCAGCCTGGCTGGAGGAACAGAAAGGAAAATGCAGACAAGTTACTGAGTCTTTTGTCTTCAACCCTTACTCATGGTCTCCACCAAGACACTCAGCCAGCAGAGCTGTGCTGCTTAGAGGTGACAGCTTTCTGTCCATAATTGTTGCACATGGCGTAGGTCACTTCCAACTCAGGATATTCTATTCTATTCTATTCTATTCTATTCTATTCTATTCTATTCTATTCTATTCTATTCCTCCAGTGCAGGCACAATGCTGACATTGTTTTTTGTTGTACCTCCTCTTTCCCTGAACAAGCTCTGATGCAGCTCCAATCACATTTCCCTTTGGTAGATTGGGTCATTATTTAATATTACCCACCACAAGGTCTAAAATCAACAGTTGTGTTCACTGAAATTTATACATGCTCGTTCTCATTTTACCCCATTTCCTCCCCACAGCCTGGTCCCACACAAATGCTCTTTCAAATAAAGTATTTTGACAGAAGGAAGAGCAATAAGAAGTAGCAAACATGCAGAGAGTTGGTGGTGAGACCAAAAGTAACTCTTCAAACTCCTGTGTAGAAAATGAAGACTATGGAAAATATAAAGCAGTGACTCAATTAATGTAAATCACTGTTTTTTCAAAGCACAGAGTGATAGTTCTGTTGCTAATAAATGCTGACAGCACTGCAAGTCTTGATGAACCACAGCATGCTTCAATCCATAGGCTCTGTGGTTATTTAAATTCAATACAGGTTTGCAGGAGGTCCAGCTGTTTAATGTCATTGCATAGAGCTAGGCTGAAGTGTGGTACCTGATAAATTAATTATTTCATGTTTTCCAGGAAAGAAAGGGGAGAAATATCATCCTAATGGAATCTCCAGGGATTTTTTCCTGCAGTTTACAAGTTTAAGCTTCTTGCTGCTCCAGGCCCTGAACTTGTAAAAATTAAACCTTCTCTTTTTTTAACCCCTCAGGAGGAGATCTGTCCTAGAGTGGAAGGTGAAGACACTCAGTCCTGCCTCTGGGCTTCAGCAGTCAATGTCAGAGACAAGTACATTTATGTGACACAGCCAAAGCAGAACAGAGTAATGATAATTGATATCCAGACTCAAAAAGCCATACAGGTACTTACAAGTGAACACATTATTCACTGATGACAAAAGACTTGATATAGGACAAAAAAGTCAGATCTTTGCCCAGTGGATCTGCTGGGCAAAGATCTGCTGATCAATAAAGAGCTGGGCCTGTGTTGCTTTCACCAGTGGCATCACATGGAGTTCACTGTTGTGTGACCTCACTGGCAGAATAAACTCCTCTGTGGGCTGGAGATCACAGACTCAGGGCTGCCTCTGCAGCCAAGCTCACAGTGAGTCTGGTAAAATAACACTGGGATGAATTCCTGGCTTAGCTGCCTGACCTGGGTTATAAAGTTTGGAAAGAATGCTTATAAATGGAAAGAGCTGGTGTGGGTACAATTCAGGCAGAAATTGGCCCTTGATCTTCTGGCTAGAAGTAACAGCAGAGGATGGAGTGATGCCTACCCAGAAAATGTCACCAAACAGCCAAATTTTTCAACTGCTGCTGACCCCCCCCTTGATTTGAAGGCAAAGCTGCACAGGGAACATAACAGTGGTGCATGAAAATGCCTGCAGGGAACTGATGTGGTCTTTGTCATGTTCATTTGAGTCACTGTGTAAATAACTCTCTCTGGGTTTTTTTAAGTCCTTGGATGTGGACCCATTACCAACCAAATTACATTATGACAAGTCCCACGACCAGGTGTGGGTGCTCAGCTGGGGGGACATGAGGAAATCATCACCCACACTGCAGGTAAGTCCTTACACCTTGGAGCCTTTGCTCTTCCTGGGCTCAGCATCACTGGTAACACACTGGTGGCTGGTGGGTTGCAGGTAATTAGCCACATTTAATGGTCTGGATATAAAGCTGCTGTTTCATTTGCATATCCAATGTGTTTTATTCACCCTTCCTCTGTCCATCCTCACATATTTTTCCTGCTGTTTAATTTGTTTTTGAGCAAATTTTTTGTGCCACAGGCTGACATCAGGGCTGCTTTGTGCCAAGGTCTGATTTGTTTTAAGACTGGTGACAGAGCCAAGTGCCAAAAAGTTGCACAGCAAGGGCTGGCAGCTGGATCTGAGCAGGACAAGACTGCTGTGCTCTGCAACACTGCGGAGGCACCTCAAATCCTGGGTTCAGTTTTGGGCTCTCACTACAAGACAAACATTGAGGGGCTGGGATGTGTCCAGAGAAGGGCAACAGAGCTGGGGAAAGGTCTGGAGCACAAGTCTGGCAAGGAGCAGGTGAGGGAGCTCAGGGGAGACCTTACCAGTCTCTACAATTCCCTGAAGGGAGGTTGGAGCCAGATAAAAGTCAGACTCTTCTCCCATGTAAGAAGTGATGGGACAAGAGGAAATGGCTTAAAGTTATGCCGTGGTAAGGTTGAGGTTGGTATTAGGAAAAATTTCTTCACTGATAACTTTCTCAAGCCCTGGAACAGGATGCCAAGGGCAATGGTGGAGTCACTGTCCCTGGAAGGATGGAAAAGACCTGTAGAACTGGGACACAGTTCAGTGCTGGGCTTGGCAGTGCTGGGGAAATAGGTGGACCCAATGATCTTAGAAGGCTTCTCCCTCCTTAACAATTATGTGATTCTGTGAGTCTCTCACAGTAAAATGCAAGACAGAAGAAGTAAAACCTCAGGGACAAATTGTGTTATTGGATGTTAGTGATTCCAGTGCAGAGGTGCCAGTGATATCTGTGGAACTCCTCCATGCTCAGCACCACCAGACCCACAGTGACACTGGGACACAGCACTGCACATGAGTTTGGACACCCAAATTAGCTTCCACTTCTGCATCACCTTGGCAGATTTACTCTTCTGTTGACAGCACAGAGAACATGGAGAATTGCCAGCTAGTGGGGCATTTTTCTGCTGCTGTATGATGTATGACAGAGTTGACACCAGTTGATGGATCTGATTTGATCCATCCAGACATCCCATTCTCTGGTGGTGGCTTTCTGGCACTTGCTGCCCAGCCCTTCTGGAAGGAGGTGCCATGTGAATAGTCCCTCTGCCAGAAGTGTTTGCAGCTAAGTCTACATTAAAGCATTTCCCAGCAGGCAGAGAAAAAGAGGGGCTGTGCTTTCTGACCTAAAAACCAACAAATTGGAGTCTGCATTAATTGTGAGGCTACCCAAGGCTTCTGCTGGGATACTGCCCCATGAAGATGGGATGGGCCATCCTTACCATCCACATGCTCCATCCAGTGCTGACTGTCAATAATAAACACTGGACCAGCTACTCATCACAGGCAATTTTAGGAAAAGATGCCAAAACCAGAATGGAGGCATATAAATGAAGGTTTCCAGGGCAGCAACAACAGGTTGTCTCATCTAGGGATGTGAGTTTCCTGTACAGGGTATAAGGAGACAAAATGGGCTCTTTTTACCCTTTCTGACTTAATTTCTTCCATCCAGCTGTGAGAAGTTTCTGTAATTAAAGGAGAGATGGCATAAGCATGTCATTATTAGGGAGAACACACCATCTGCACAGTTGGAAACTTGTTAGAAAGTTCCAGGTCTCAGATAGTCCTTTCTGTTATCTTTATGATGTGCAGTTACACACATAGAGATGAGATTAGCATCATCATCAGCAGATCCTTTCTTTTTTCTGACCTTCTTTCCTAAAAGATGGGCAATGACTAATTGGGCAAAGTTCCTCCTTAAAACCTGCAGTGTTCAGTTGCAGAAATGCAATAAAATGCCTTCTTTTAATGAAGATGCTGCTGCAGAGGTTGGTGTAAATTTCCACTCCTCTGGAAGTCAGGGATTTATCAAACTGCCTGTGCAGCCAGCTAAGGGGATGCTGTTGTTTGGCCATTACTGGCTTGTTGGAAGCAAATGTCTGGCTTCTTGAAAGCACTGTGCTAGGCTGGGCATCCTTCTTGAGCAATCTAATTGGAAGAAATCTAAATGGCATGACCAGAACAGCTGTCTGAAATAAACCTTTTAGGGATTTAGCATGTCTTTCATGAGTTATGTAGCTATAAATTCAAAGCAACAACTGCTGCAGATTAGAGCAGCAGAAGGTCCTAATGAATGGACTAAAGTCATCTTAAACCCAGCAAACAATTTGAGCGTTTAACATTTTAATTTTTGAACACTTTTCCTTTCTGGAGCAGTGGAGGAGCTGAGTTCCCCTGCCCATGGAGATCTGGGCTGTGCTGGAGGACAGGACCAGGGGACAGCCAAAGGGAGCTTCTTCACTCCTCCCTGGACTTTATATTGATGGATGAACAGTTTTTCTCCTTCAAAGTGATAATTAACTGCCGTGAGTTAGTGTTTGATCCTTCAGGGTGGTAAATTATCCCTGTTCATTTAAGTGAGATTAATAAATATGACCATGGAGTAAATGTTTACTTTAGACAGTGAGGGATAAATTATTATGGTCCTACTGTTGTCATACTGCTTCAGCTTCTGCTTGACTGCTCTTTCTCAAGATGTAAACAACTTATAAGAGTCAAGTTGTGTACTTACCTTACAAATGTCATGCCTCAAATACTGTTTGCTTGCACACCTTTTCAAGACAACTACACCAAACAGTGTTTTGAAATCATTAATCAGTTGAGTCTACTAGAGCCTGAAAGGAGCCACTCGGTACCGTGCATGTCTCTAATCTGTATTTACCTTTCTGCCTTACTCAGTGCTTATCCTGTGCTCAACCTTGTGTGTATTTATTGTAGGTGATTCCAGAGGCAAGCACTGGAGAAGATCCACATGTTATCCACACACCCTTTGAAGGAGTGGAAGATTTTTTTATACCACCTACAAATCTTATTATTAATCATGTTAGGTGAGAAATTCTTTTAATGAATAATAATGGTGACCATGCTGCTCCTTTCTCATAACCTTAAAGCACTTTACAGATATGAATGAAGAAATGAATGAGTGAATGAATGAGTGAATGAATAAATGAATTTGTGATGAACCTTAACTACATTCATCCCCATTTTCACACATGAAGTGGAGAAATGGTTGAGGAAATTGCCAGTAGTTATTCAGCTAATCAGTAAAACAGTAAGAAACAGTCCTGGACTTCCCTTAGACCATGCACAGGCATTCAAACCTCACCTTAGTCAGCCATCCCTCCTTGCAGCTTATGGCACACTGCCCTGGCTTACTTGTGCCAGGAATTTGATAGCCCAAAAAACACCTTCCTTGCCACAAAACTGTTACACATCTGAGCAGAAATCTGTGTCAAGGATATATTGCCTGAACTGGTAAAAATGTACTCTGCCTGAAGCATAAAATGTGGTTCTTTCACATGCTCCCAACTTGTTCAAGTATTGAATCTCTGTGTGAGCTTTATGGCTGGAGCAGAAAAATTGTATGCCCTGCAGATTAGAAAAAACAAACGTCCATGAACTATCAGTTTTGAATGTTAATGTGATGTAGTGGTTAATGAGGTTGTGTAACTAACATACTAATAACCTGGAGTAATACTGGCTGCTTCCCAGCAGGCACAGGAAGCCTCCCATTAACATTATCAAAATTGATGATAACTGCACAGCAATTTATACTATTATTTCCATGTTATAACAACTGTTTAACCATCTTCTGTCCTCTATATAGTTTAACTAAGTTAAACACTCAAAAACCATAATGTAACTCATTACAGTCATCTTAGGTTTCCTGCAGGAAACACCGAGAGAGAAGGGGTTACACTTAAATGATTATATGTTGAGTCTGTTCCAAAATAAATAATTTTGCCTGCTGAAACACTAAATAATGATGCATGCCTCATGGCTGTCATTTGTAATTTCTCCCTACTTCATATTTCCAGTTTTCTTTCACAATTTCATTATGGCTAATAGTAGTGCTGGAAGGTGAATGACTCTGCTGAATGTTAAAGCCTGAGCTGAGAAGGTGAGAACTGGATTCAAAGACAGGAAGGTGGAACAGTTACACATTTTTGTTTGTTTAATTGTCCTTTTGCTTCAGTGTGATTAGTTGGCTGAAATAATAAATATAGATTACTGTCCATAGTTTTCCACATGCAAAGCTGGAGATGCTGTCCCTGATTTCCTGTTGCATTTGTTCAGGGCCAGTTCTTTGTCTGTTCTCTCTCACCCTCAGCACAGAAAAAAATAATTGCTTGCAGGCTAATGAGACTCATTGGGATGATTTTCTAAATTCTCCACTCAGAAACAATAAATGGCAGTACCAGCCTTTCCCAGGAAGGTGAACATTTAAGCAATTTCTTCCACTAGCCAAATAATGTTTGTATGCAAATACTCCTGCATATGTATTTCAGCTGCCTCTTATTTTAGATGGATATCTAGAAATATATCCATTTTTATTAGTTCCAAGGGTAGACTGTTGTCTATTAAAAACTCTCTAAGCACAAGGTTTGCTTTGAGATTTCAGATCACAGATTTCATGAAAGGGCTGAGCTTCTTCTGCAACTGTGGGCACATAAAATATATCCTGACCCACTTCTTTAAACGGAAGTTTATGATAAGGATAATTTCTTAAGTTCTTCAGGCATTTGGCCAAGTATTAAGGAAGTCTTGGGGGGAAAAAAAGAGCTGTAAGGGAAAGCACTTTTTAAAGTGTACTTAAAATTCATTCATCCAGGGGAAATACAAGTGTCATATCCAATTTCCACACACACAGTGCACTATGGCTCTCCACTGCAGATACTTTGTGAAGCCTCTAATGGATGTGAGTATAATGGGGAAATGAAAGGCTTAGCCCAGTGATTTTCATGGGATCACACACTACACTGGCTCATTCTTTAAAAGTGAAATCATTGCTGACTGTCTCATTGACAGATGGATTAAGAATAAAGAAATAAACCTAGTGTTTCAAGCAAAATATGTATTTTCTGCACAGAAGCACGTTGTTCTCCACATTTCACAAGGCAATTTTACATCTTCTGAGGAAGACATACAACACTAAGCACTCACTTCATTTCCCTCTGTCTGCATTGAATGGATGAAAAGATAGTTGATGTAAAATTAGTTTTTGTAAGTCAGTGTCAGTGAATCCAGTGGAACACAAGCAGGCTGTTTCTAAGGGCTCCCTCTCAAATTAAGCAGAAACCTTTCTTGGCTATTCTTAACCTTTTCTTGTCTTCAGCAAAGGTCAGATGTGCTGCAGTATATATCTTTTACGGAACATTTATCCTCTGCTCACTGTTTTTTGCCCTGTCTTGAGACAGAAAATGAAGACCCCTTATCTTCAGGGCACCCTGGTTATGTTCCTCAAGAAATGTTTTGCACCTTCCCTGGGCTGGCAGGATGGTTTTTAAGAGTCTGCTCTGCACCACAGCCTTGCCATCTCCTGCAGGGGCTCCCAGGCACCACGGGTACCAAACACACACCACAGCTTCCCTCTGGTGCTGTCAGTTAAGAGATGAGATTAGATATGGTCTTCATTCAGTGGTTATGCATTATATTGTACACATCTATACTTATTATATATAATTACTCATAATTATTTATTACTAATAATTATTTATTTATATAATTACTCTCTGGCCCCAACCTGGCAGCAATATGCTTTGTATTGAATGCTTTTCTATTTTGGGATTGAATGTTTGCATATATATTGAATTTCATGACTATAATCTCAGACAAATTAAGTACAAACCCTGGTCAGCGTTAGCCTACTGAACACCCAAACCTTGATTTCACTTCTGTAGAAATTGGTCTTCCCAAAAGTTCCCAATAAGTTCCCAATATAAATAAGTTCCCAATATAAAGCTGCTGTTTCATTTACATATCCAAATATTTTGTGCCCAATTTTTAAATCCCAAAAGAAGATTTCAGCTCTCAAAAATTAAAGCACCTAAGCAAATGTTCAAATTTCCAGGATCAGGTTGCTGATTTGAACTGATATATATCCCTCCTTCTAGGATGTTTTAAAAGCACTAAAACAAGACATTTCTTACAAAAAGAGACAGCACTATTGCACACGCTTCCAAAACCAACAGAATAAAAGGTGCCCAACTCTGCTGACTGTTGTCTTTGCTCAAGCATGTCACCACGTCTCCAGAGGTGACCTCAGTGCCTTGTTTTCCATTTCAGGTTTGGCTTCATTTTCAACCATTCCAAGCACGTGGTCCACAAGATTGACCTGGAGACTGTGACGCACATCAAGACCATCCACCTCAAGGCCTACGGCTGCGTGCCTCAGGCCATGGCCTACACTCACCTGGGTGGTTACTACTTCGTGCAGTGCAGGAGGAGCCGCCCCGGGGCCGCCTCTCTGCAGCTCATCATCGACAGCGTCACCGACGCCGTGGTCGGCCCCAACGGCCGCGTGGCGGGCGCGCCCCACGTCTCCCCCGACGGGCGCTACCTGGTCAGCGCCGACCGCGCCAGCGGCACCATCACCGTGCAGGCCCTCACTGTCCGGGGGGAAATCAAGTTGATTTATGACTTGAAAACAAACATACACGTGTCCGATCTGACATTTCAGCCCTCTTTCACTGAAGGCAATCAGTACTATATATACGCTACTTCACATTTGCAAACAGATGTGCTATTTGTGGAGCTGTCAACGGGGAGGATGAATGTACTGAAGAATTTAAAGGACCCTATCGCGTCCAAAGACTGGCCTTGGAGCAGCTACAACAGAATTATGAAAGACAGTGGATTATTTGGACAGTATCTCATTACACCAGCTAAAGATTCGTTGTTTGTTATAAATGGGAGGCAAAATACGTTACGCTGTGAGGTTTCAGGTATAAGGAGGGGTAACACAGTGGTCTGGGTTGGGGAGGTATGAAAGGGCAGTAGCAGTGGAGCCTTCGGCAGGCAAGGACCAGTTGGACCTTTACACTGCAGGAAATGAGCAGTAGCATTGTATATTTTTACACTGGGAAAACAAAAAGACAAAAAAACGCTGTATAGGCTTCATGGTACAACACTGGTCTACTTGCAAGTTTTATAATATAAAGTATGCTCTGCTAATAGGAAGTGGTTTTGAAGGGATATTTTTTATTTGTGGGTATGATTTCTGGTTATGAGAAAAATGCTGGGAAGCAAATAATATCTCCACTGAGATATCATACAAGCCGCGAAACCTAATAATTCTGTAGAACAAAACAGATTTTGACTTTCCATACTGAGGAGCTTTTATGTTCTGTCCTAACATCAGTTTTCTTCCCTGTATCCCTTGCCTGTTGGCTGCACTGACTACCCCACCCCAGCACAGGAGACAGCAGCAGCGAGGACTATTCACATTTGAATATTCACCTTGGGATGATGAGGGAAAGTAAACATCAGAGCAGTTTTCAACCCAGAGAATCCTAGGAGAGTGATTTAATGAAAACTGATCAGTTTTCTCTGCAGGATGGCTTTGAGAGGATTCGCTGATGTGATTTCAGAAGGAGGCATCACAGAAATAGTAACTGTCAGCTCGCTTGATTCTGCGCTTCATTTTGCTCTTAGTCCTACTGAAGGCAATGGGAGGAGTCCCCCCTCTTCCAGTGCACATTTGTGTGATTGTATTTGAGAAATTTGCCATGAAATATCCAGGCCATTACCCATCCAGGCCTGGGTAAAAGCTGGAAAATACTGACAGGGGGGTCAGAGTTTATGTAAACAATTTTGTTGAGAAGGTGGCATTAGTCTTTCAACGGCTCATGAGTGTGGTCAGTTTGGGAACAATATGCAAAATCTACTCTTTGGGGGTAGAGAATTAGTTATGGTTATTCCCATAGGAGACAGCAACAGTTCTAGAAATCATTGGTTTCCCTCATTAAATATTTAGGAGCACTGGAATCACTTGGTTCTTCATAAAATAACAGTTAAAATAACAGAGGTTATTTTTAATAGAGAACTCACTCATTTTCTAGTCACAGCCTTAATTTGTCTGTTTCTTTTCAGAACAACTAGGAAACAATTTTTCTTTGTTTTTTTTTTTCCTTTCTGTTTATAGTACACTTGTTTATAGTCAATTATCTTTTAGTTATGAGCAAAGACATTCATGTAAAAGCAGCTGAATTATCCAAGAATGCAACAGCTGGCATTGAGAAATTTCAGTTGAGTTCCCATAAAAACATACAGCCATTTATTTGCACACTTGGAAGATATAAAAAACTTTTCTATTTGCATTTTTCTAACTTTCTATATCCATCACCATGAAGTAACAAGGGCAAAAGCAGCTGTGGCAGCAGAGCCAGGCAAAAAGTGGTGCCATCCAGGCAGTTGTAGCCATCTCTTGGAAAATGGGGTCTTCAGGTGGGTGAAACCTCTCTGCAGGTAAAATATCAGTAGCATTAGAGCCACCCACTGGCCTCTGGACAGACCCAGCTTGGTTTGCCAAGCACCTTGTTGCCCAGAGTCTGTAGAAAGCTGCCCTTGAGCATATGCAGTGATAGGTAGTGGTGTAATTATTTCCCTCCACAGATGCTTTAAGACACCCATTCCACAACATACACAGAGGGATTTTAAGCAAGAAGGATACAGAATAACACTGGCAATCTGCTTTAAATGTTTATCAGAAGAGCAGCATTCTAGCATGGCTGTAGACCTGAGGTATTTTACACCATTTCAGTTCTATAGAGAATATAAAAATCTGTTCCGACAGACGAAGAAGGGAGCTGAATCCTATGAATTCATTAACCATGGAGTCCTTGAAATTGTCCTTCAACATCCATGTGCTGAATCCTACATTTCTTTCACTTATGAGCCATAGGAGTTAGAAGAGACTCTTCCATCATTGCAACACAGACATGTGAAACAGATGGGCATAGCCTTCCTTCAGCAATGCATGGTGTCCATGATTTTGTATTCATCCCATTAGGAAACATATCCCATGTCAAAGAAAGGAGAAGACCAGCTTTGTAAGTACCTTTAAATATGCACAGCTCCTTTCTTGAACAAAGCTGTATCCATACATTGCAGCCATCCTAAATGTGTTTTACCAAGGCCAAACACTGCTCTCGTGTTATCTTTTATGACTTCTTGAGTATTTTATTATGCCTATGGTAAGTTTTCCCTGTAGAGATGTTCATTGTGTCATAGATCAAGCAAATATTACTTTTTTAAGAATATTAAAAAAAAAAATGTATATATATGTTCAGGTAAATATTCTTGAGGCTGGTTTATATATAGGCTGTGAAAGATGTGTAACAGACCTCACTTTTTCCTGTTTGTTGCAAAGTATTGGAATAACATTCACTTGAAAAAAATCCCACTTGGACCTTCCAAAGATGTTCCCTTTGTTCCCTCTCCAGCCCAAGTTCCAGTGATGTGTTTTTCTAAAGTATCCTAATGGTTATATATCATACTTAGAAAATGAAGTATAATTTAGATTGTCCACACTACTTGTGAACAGTTCCAATGACAGTCAAATCTGACATTAAAGTGCTGCACATTTGTTACTCTGATATTTTTTTTTACAACACAGAAATTTTATATAGACTCAAAAAAATGTTTCAATTCATATTTGCCTTTTGACTTTGTCAAAAAGAGACTACATTTCCTTGTGGGCAATTTCTTTCACTATCCTTTTGGTTCTCCACCAATTCACACTTAATTCCTAGTTACTAAATTATTAATTAATCATGGTGATTAATCAAAATTGATCTAAATTGAATTAATGATCTTTTCATTATCTTATACACTCATACGTCAGTAGGATGTTCTGACACTACAATCATGGGAAAAATAATCCTTGGTTGCCCACTAAGACACCAGTGTCAAGATCAGATGCATTTGCCATTCATCACTGAGATTAAACAGCAGTAGGATAGAAATGCTGGTTTGTCCTAGTATTTCTCTCAATATTTTCACTTTCTGAAAAGAAGTACCTGTTCAGAAACCATCCACTTTGAAACTGGAAGCAAAACTCTCAAGTCCCTCATTTGGAATCTGTGATGGTTAACATATTCTTATCATTAAATACTTTATTTTTTTATACCACTAAAAAAAATCAATAGAAGTACCAAGATATTTTGGTGGGCTTGTCTGCAGATGGGTGGGAGATGGGAACTGGCAGCGTGGGCTGGTCCCCCCTGCAAAAGAGACTTCATGAGGGGCTATTGAAAAACACTCTGCCTTGAAGGCCTTGGGCCATTTAGCTGCATTGACCTCCTTGAACACAGCTTTGCCCAAGAGGAACACCAGTCCTGATGACCTGTTGACAGGTACTTATGTACTTGATTTATACCATGATTAGGTCTTAATTGCCTGAGTGCCTGTTAGTGCACTGGGTGCTGTGTAAAACAGATAAAACAGGTCAAGATCTCCTTCTGTAAGGAGATAATGGCTAATTCCCTGTATGACCCTACAGCAGGTCAACAAAAGGAACAGGAACACAGGAACAGAGGCTGGGGAGACAGATATGCATTAACCTGGTTATTCATAAGAGATGTGGGCATGCCATAATGCCTTTGTATTTTTTCCCTACAAGACCACCTTTGTCCCTCCCTGTACAAGGCTTTGTGACTCTCTCAGGTTACAGGTGCAGCTGTCACCCTTCACTGCCCCCCCAGAACTCAGGGATTTCCCGTTCTGCCATGTGCCCTTATTACTCACTGCCTCACTGCCTCACTCTCCAGTAATTGCTTTCTTAGAAAACCTGGGGGTAAATCCTGCTTTTCTTAAGGAAGTGCATTATGCAAGGCAAGCAGCAGCACTGGCCTTCTTTATGGGATTCCCATTGAAGCCAGCACCCATCACTTCACCCTCTGCTTTGTGCATTTTCTCATCATGGGCCCCCCCAATAAAAATAAAAAATAAAAATAAAAAAGAAAAAAAAAAAAAAGAAAAAAAAAACACCGAAGTCCATGTATAGGAAACAGAGATCAATCTTACAATTGGCTCTTCCAGTACTGCTATTTGCTCACTGGAGATCATGTCCCAGCCTGGCAAGCTCCCCTACAACCTACAGAAGTCCATCCCCTCTGCCTGTCACATCTGATTTCCCCTTTGTGCATCTGTAGCACAAGGCATTTCAGACATGATGTGGGCACAGCTCCTGCCCATCACTGTGGTGTCCCACTCACTTGGCTGCTGCAAACTTTCCCTGACCACTTCTGCAGAAAGGGATTTTTATTTATATTCTGTCCCTTGTTAACTTTTTGGAAGTAGACTGAAATAAAACACAGGGACACCTCTCCACCTGGAGACCAGGAAGAGTCATGTGTTTCTTTAATACACAAGGTGGTGTGATGGTGTGTGGTGTGGAAGACCAGACAAATTCCCAGCCAAGCACTGCAAGCCCAGGAATGGACTGCTCCTCTCTGCTAGTGGAAGAAAAACACACCTGAAATGTCACTCTTTTTTAACCTGCCTCCAACGAGAGGGTTTGGTTGGTTTATTAACAACTGTTTCTGAAAGAATAAAATAGCAAGGCTATAAAGATTTTTTTAATAAGCCTGAAAACAGAGAATGACAGGCAGGCAGGAATCTTACATCTGCTCGTGTCTGCTAGAAACCAGGATGCCCCAAAAATGCAGAGGTGTGTATGGGGGTCATACACGAGTGATGGGGTTGAGCTGAGCTTGGGCTTGGGCTATCTGAAGGAGCTGCAAATACAGACCTTACATTCATTTATTTTTTTATCCCATGCAATGAGAGCTGGCTGTGCAGCCCAGCTTAATGCATTGGCCAAAATACCCTCAGTTCTGTCTGCCCAGTACAGTGCAGTGAGATTTACAGCCTGTACAAGCAGAGCAGGATGGTTTGGGCAGGACCAGTGCAACTTGTTCAGTTCTTGGCCCAATCTACTCTCTGCACCAGCTGAATTAATGCCCATTACTCAGTTCTGTGGCAGCAAAAGGTCATCACCATGCAGCCCTGAGGGAAGATGTAGTGGTGCCTTCACAGTGCTGTTAATGACCCTCGGTGCCTTGGCACAGGATGCTCAGGTGACTTACAGTCCTCACAGACGTGACTGGCTACTAAAGAAGCTTTCCACCTTTGGGGGTTTTTCCCTTGTGATTTTATTTGTCCCTTATTCCAGAAAA